GAATCTTGCTATAGGCAAAATCAAAATTTCTCAATAATAGCAATGCATTTTTTTGCTTGATTGCTTCACGGGGATGGCTAGGCACAGCTGTGCATGCATACACATTCATGCCTTCATCAAAATATTGTTCTGTTGCTCTGAGGTTTTTTGACAAAATTCATGGCATTTGATCATAATATGGTTTAAACTTCATACTTTAAGTGCAAGTAAAATTAGTTTCTCTTTATTATAAATAGGGATCTATTGAAGCTATCAGGCAAGCTTTACAAGTGCTCCCTCGAGATAATGTCACTTTGAAGTTCCTCTTGCAAGCTACAGGAGATGTAAGCAACAGCGATGTTGATCTTGCTGTTGCTAGAGAAGCTATAATTTTAGGATTTAATGTCAAAGCTCCAGGTTCTGTCAAAAGCTACGCAGAAAGACAAGGTGTTGAGATTCGGCTATATAGAGTTATCTACGAACTCATTGATGATGTGCGAAATGCAATGGAAGGACTTCTGGAGCCTGTGGAGGTTAATTCTAATGCATCACTTGTTTCTTTCTATCAAACTTAGCTTGCTGATGCTATTTATACTCCATGTATATCCTGCATTACATTGTGCATGATTGGGAATATATGCATGGCAAAAAAAAATTCCATCTGTGGCTTCTTTTTTTTTTGTGTGTGTGTGTGTGTGTCTATTTGTTTATTTTGGTCCCATCACTTTTATGGGGGGTTTGGGGGTTGAATAAAAGGCAGATTGGATTTGGTTTTTTTAATGTTTTTTTTCTGTTGAGCTACATGTCCTTACCTTGCTGGGAATTGTTAATTTTCTGTCTCTTTGCATTACATTTTTAATGTGTTGGATATTCTTTGATTTTGATATGAATGCAATATATATATATATATATATAAATTGTGGAAACAAACTCTAAAAAGAACTTCCAAGATGTTATATAGGAGTTCTGCATCATGGTATATGCTTGTTCATCATATCATAGTACAGGCATGCTGTTGTTTCATACTCGTAGCATTACTATCAATTGTTTAGTTCATTGGTTCCAGGTTAGGACAATGCTTGTGCTTATTCTCCATTCCTCTTTTTTAAAGGACTGCCTTCAAAAACACTTATCATGGAATACATGTTCATTTGAGTCAGGAATATTTTTTACTTGTGAGAATGTGCTGCCTTTGCTTTAATGTTGTGAAATATCTATTGCAGCATATTTACTGTTTTGCTACTTGCGTATTGATAGGAACAAGAGATAATTGGCTCAGCAGAAGTCCGGGCAGTATTTAGCAGCGGCAGTGGTCGTGTTGCTGGATGCATGGTAACAGAAGGCAAAATAGTAAAAGGCTGTGGAATTAGGATTGTCCGAAATAGAAAAACAGTCCATGTTGGTGTCCTTGATTCACTGAAACGTGTTAAGGAAATAGTGAAGGAGGTAAGATTTTTATGCCAGTAACTTTGCTTTGTTATAGTGTGTTATATGGTCTCCTTCCAGTATTACAGTATCAGCAAGCTTGTAAATTTAGTTGATACTGGTGCTCTATCACACCCTCCAGAGACCTGCATTTCTGTTGAGCATTGTGCAGCATGGTTACATCTCATGAAGTGTATTTATTCATTACTAGCTTACAGACTTGGTTTGTACAGAGCTTTTAGTGAGTTGTCCATCAAATATCTATAACTGCTTTGCTTTTCCTTTCCTTTGGAATTTCTAATGATATTTTATAGAGGCATGTTTTATCCATTGACTTGATGTCCTTAATAACTCTGCTATTCTGTGAGGATGATGTTAAAGGTTGAATGATATGCATAATGTGATTTCGCAATTCGGTCTCTTTAAGGGGATGTGCTTGCATTATTCATGAATTAGCACGATTGCAATATGGGAGACTTTTTTTTGTGAAGTAATGGGAATTTAAAGTTGCTGCAATTATTGTGTTTGAATGAGATGACTGAATCATCCAATTTTTATTGTATTTGACTATTTGTTGAGATCAATTCTTTAACTTTTATGCTTTGCTTTTGTGAAGTAATGGGAATTTAAAGTTGCTGCAATTATTGTGTTTGAATGAGATGACTGAATCATCCAATTTTTATGTATTTGACTATTTGTTGAGATCAATTCCTTTAACTTTTATGCTTTGCTTTCTTGGGTCAATTTGTGGAATCTAATTATGAGAAATGTAGCCTCTTCTCTACCTCCGTATTTATGTTATTTATTGAAGTACTCTGCCTTTTATTTTTATTGGTGAATTTTCTTATGCTGTTTAAGATTGCAAAATGGCTTCCCTAGTGGCTGTAACATGCTGTCCTCTAACTTGATGCCTCGTATATACCTGGTCTTATTCCAATATGCTTTTCTTTATCAACTATCAATCCATAACATCTATTAACTTGCAATTCTCCGATTCATTAGGCTTGAAGATCTTTTCAGACACCTCCATGTTTTTCATTAGCATCAATCTTAGCTCCACAAATTTGATCTTTTCCTGACAGGTAAATGCCGGACTAGAATGTGGTATTGGGGCGGAAGATTATGATGATTGGGAGGAAGGTGATGCTATAGAGGCCTTCAACACGGTAGAGAAGAAGCGAACCCTCGAAGAGGCCTCAGCCTCCATGGCAGCTGCACTGGAAGAGGCAGGAATCAACATGTAGCTCAGCATGCGGCTCTATAGCTGAATATATTCGGTTCTCCTAATGGAAACCAAAGCATTACAGGACAATAAAGGCAGCACTATCGAAGTAGTGCTCTTAACATTTGCTCAGTTCGTGGAATACAGATGAGCTGCCCAACACATCCAATTCATGTCAACCGCAGGGCGTGCAGGATCGGAGCTTGAGGTGATTTTGTCCAGTGTTGTATGCTATTTTGTTGTATATATAGTAACACATACCGGATCTCAGTTACTTTCTGTAAAGGAGCAATCATACAAGTTCCTCAAGATTCATTGTGCCAAGACAATGTAACATTTCTGAAAGAAATTAAATTTTTTTTGAAGGCGCTCAGAATTAGGCATGCACGACCTCCTACATTGTCTCTTAAAATTTAGCTACTCAAAGTTACAGCAAACAGAAGTAGAGGAAGGCCAAACTTTGTAATTATAATCACCTTTTTTTTCAGAAATTCTAATTTTCAGAGTTACCCTAGAAGCCATGTTGTATATAGAGGGGGCACCAGACTCTTTAAATTCTGTAATTACATGTGCTGCTAAAATTTTAGAAGAAAAGAAAAGGTACTGATATTCATTAAGTTATTGAGTATTTAACATACAATTTTTGTTAATTTTTGGTTTAAGGGTCCAAAAACTAAAGAAAATAATGTTGGGTTAGGAAAGATTGTATGAATCTTATGCTACGTTTTATGAGAATGGTAAATCTTGCTGCATCATATTTGAAAGACAATTCACAATTTTAATAGTGAAGCAGATTGGGAAGCCAGTTTTTTTTAAGTGTTTTAAGGTTATATTTCATGCTATATTGCAACTTATATTGCAACTTGGAACCAAAAAAACCTTTGAATGTGAGAAAATAATATATAGACTATAATAAATTATAAAAAAAAATTTGGTGTTGTTATTAAACTTGGTATAACATGTTAAATTTAAAAATTCTTCATTTAATTTTTTGTTTAGTCCAAATTTTAAATTAAATCATATAAAAATTATTTTAATATAATCTTATTAACTTGTTAGCTCCAAAAAAACTAAAAAGAAAATAAATCTAGTTAATCCTAGTTAATTAACAAAACTTGTGATATGGTTATGGAATATATTAAATTGAATTATTTTTATTTTTATTATATGATAAAAAATATAAAAATTAAATTATAATTAATAATACTGAAAGATAAAATTAAATTAAAAAAATAAAATATAAATCATTCAATAATAAAATTAAAAAAACCAAAAAATAAAATGATGACAAAAAATAATTAAAAAAAAGGGCAAAGGGCCAAAGAAAAAAGAACTCAGACTTATGAGTCTTATTAGCCCTCAATGACTAGACCCTTTATAAAATAGTGCAAGCACTTGGGCCAAGGTAGAGCTAGACGCTTGAGCCATTATTTTTTTTTTTTTGTTAAGGGGTGGACAATATATAATCTGCCTCTTATTTTGTTTTTATTAAATAACAACAATATGTTACGGGGCATCATCTACTGAGTAGTAATCCTGATTCAGGCTGCCATATTGATGGGGAAAAAAAAGAAGGAAAAAGGTGTTTTGGGTTAAAAAATTTTAATAAATTTTTATCTAAAAATACCATAAATATCTCATCAAATCATCTAATAACTCCAAAATCAACCAAAAAATAAAAATTAACTAAATAAAAATTCTCTAAACCAAGTTTAATCTCCTTTATGTAGAAATATTAAAAAAAACCATCATCATTAAACTTTTCTCGTTAAATAAAATTTATTGATACAAAAAACGATGAGTTTTTTCATGGAAAAGTAGCTTAATTGATAATTTTTTTTTAAAAAAAAGTTATGGATCCAAAAATAAATAAAAATAAATTTTTGAACAAAAATAAAAATTATTAGAATTTAGCATGTGACATATAATTTCTCTATATTTTATATTCAAGACCTCTTTTTTTTTTTGTTAATTAATTGATACATTTGATCCTTTTGTGGATATAATTAAGTCCTTATATTTTCATATTTGTTTGTATCTAGTCCTATTGGATTTTTATTACAATTTTATTGTTTTTTTCTTAATCCATCTCTAATCAATGTTCTCCAGCTCACCTACAGCAGATAAAATTAAAAACGCATTGCAAAGTTATTTTTTTGTAATTTCAAGATAAATCACGGTTGTCAACCAGGATGAAGGGAATGAAAGTAGAAGGACTAATTTACAAAATCGTTTGAAATATAGTAACTAAATTGTAATTAAATATTTAATTTAAGTATGCATTATACACGCTTTAGAAGATTTCATGGCCCAAGCAAGCACGCAGTGAGCCCGGCTCCTATGTTTCAAAATTCAAAAAAAGGAAGGAGCAACGGTCACCTTTCTTCATAACTCTATCTGAGCCAAGGCAAATCATCCATCAAACAATGAATCCTATGTTTTCTTACCTTTGAATTGCCAAATCAACGTTAATATTTACAACCCAAACAACTCTCCCTTTCCCTTTTCTCCTCTCTCTCTCTCTAGAACAAAAGGATTGTAAAGCACTTGCCTTTTTTCTCTATCATTCTAATTCAAAGCTCATCAATTGATTGCACATTCAAAACTGTGCCCTTTTTCTTTTGAACCCTTTTAAAGAATTCAATTCAGTTTCCATGGAAGATAGTAATAGTACTAATGAGCAACCTCCTCATTGGCATGACCCCCTTCTCCTGACTGATGTACACCACCAACAACAACATAATACCAGCCCTCTCTCTTGCTCTTCAAGTAAGATCACTTCACCTTCTCTAGTACCCAATTTTTCTTTCTTGGTTTTGTAGATATTTTTTGGGTTTTTAAACTTTTGTTTCTCTCTTTTTTCTTGTTTAGAGACTGGACTCATTTCTTCGAAGTCTCAAACTTTGGCCATGGTAGATTCAGATTCAAATGAAGGTGATGCGTGGTCTTTTTTCCCTAAATTTAAAGCAAACCCGTTAATTTTGTTGATTTAAATTTTGTTGGGAACACTCTGTTATCTCTGAAAGGAATGATTAACTTCTTCTTCTTTTTTCACTTTCTTGTTGTAGATATGTGTTGGCAAGAAAGCCAAAGCGTAGAATCAATTACTATGAAAAAACTGATAGACCGAGTTGACAATGAGGCGATTGATGGTAAAAAAATCTCTTCTTTTGACAATTTTGATCAAGAACTGGATTTCAAGATCGAACTTTTTATTGGGGTTATCAAGATTTAAGAATTTGATTGAATTTTGTGTTATTTTTTCAGGTAGGTCCATGTTAGGGTTTTCATTAACATCTCCTGATCTGGTCATTTGTGCTGGTTCACCTGATATATCCAGAACTGCTTATGGAGATTCTCCTGAATTATTGGATGACAACAAGTGCTCAATTGAGCTTTCTTTGGAGAATGGTATTGATGGGTCTGATATGAAAGACTCTATTAAGAGTCCATGTGTAAAGTTTTCTTCTGTGTTTCAAACATTCAACAAAGAGTTGTCTCCTGAATCTTCGTTCGAGCTCCTTCCACAGCAAGAAAAAGAAGAGAAATTGGTGAAAGATTTTGTTCCTGGTGTGTGCATTAATGCAGGATGCACTGACAGGGCTGTGGTTTTTGGGGGTGTAGAGTTTTTAGGGGATGATTGTTTTCTGGGTGGTGATACAGTAAGGACTGATGCTACGATTGGGGATGGACAGGATGGGGGTCTTTCTCTTTACCAAACGGCACGGTATGGTAACTTCTCGTATTGTTTTCGGGCGCTGGAGCCTGGGAATTATGATGTGAGTTTGCACCTTGCAGAAATTGTATTCACTGATGGCCCTCCTGGGCTAAGAGTATTTGATGTTTTTGTACAAGAGAAGAAGGTGAGAATTCATGAAACCAAAACAAATAGTAGTTTCAATGGAGGTTGCTAATGCCATCATCTTATTGTATGATTGATTGTTTTTGTAGGTTATGTCATGCCTCGACATATATGCACAAGTAGGCGCAAATAAACCTCTGGTTGTATCTGGCCTGAAAGCTTTCGTAGAGGGTGATGAGGACTTATTGATTAGATTTGAAGGAGTGATGGGAAAACCGATTGTATGTGGCATTTCTGTTACAAAAGATTTTTCTTCTAGTAAGTTCAGTTTTCTATCTTCTTTTGGTTTCTGAACTATCGTTTTTGGTTCATGTTTCAAGATAGAAATTTAGTTAAGCTTTCTAAAACTTCTTATTTCAGATACTGGAGAAGCTAGATTACTGAAACATATAGGAATGTCTCAAGTAGCGGAGTGCAATTCACCCAAAGTATGACCTCTTAATCCTTTTAGATTCTAATTTAGTTTGTGAGAAACATTAGATTATTGCCTCTAAAATGATGGTTAAACTGCAGGAATTAGGTCACCTTGAGGTGGAAGGGGATTATCAGAAGCTACTGAGAGATCACGAGTTTCAGAGAAGGGAATTAACAGAGATGAGGAGGGCAATGGATGAACTTAAGAGGGAAAACCGACTTAAGAGCAGGGAATGCCAAGATGCTCTGAAGTCATTACAGGAGCTCCAAAATGAGCTCATGCGCAAGTCGATGCATGTTGGGTCCTTGGGTATGGAAATCTAATGTTGTCTGTAGTAATCACATTGACTGTCCACAAATGTTGATTGTGCTGATGGTTGTTTGTATGCAGCCTTTGCCATTGAGGGACAAGTGAAAGAGAAGAGTAGGTGGTTCACATCATTGAGAGACTTGACAAGAAAACTGAAGGTACTTTTATGAGTTTTTGACATCTGTCTCATGGAATATCTGGTACTATGTTGCATTATTTTAAAAAGGTTTCATTTAACAGATTATGAAAATGGAGCACATCAAGCTATCAGAGGAGGCACTGGCATACAAGAATTGCCTTGTAGATATGGACGATATAAGGTCTACTATTCTGTTCAAAAGTAGGTCAATGTACTGTTTATATGACCAACACAGCTATCTTTCTTCTGCACTTTTTATTCACTTATTTTGTTCTGACAGTGAAACAGCAAGTAGATTTGCATGAGGATCTAAAGATTAAATTTGTTGAAGGAGCCAAAGAGAGAAAGGAACTGTACAATAAGGTTCTAGAGTTGAAAGGTAAATTTATTTTTGCTTAGATATCTGGAGTTCTATATGTTAGGAATTTAAAGATGGTATACTGAATTCTGAATCTTTCTTGCAGGAAACATTAGGGTGTTTTGCCGGTGTCGGCCTCTAAAATCCGAAGAAGTTGCAGCCGGAGCTTTAATGACTATTGATTTTGAATCTGCTAAAGATGGTGAGCTAACTGTTATGTCAAATGGACTTCCAAAAAAGACCTTCAAGTTTGATGCTGTTTTTGGCCCCCAAGCAAACCAAGGTAATCACCTCTTGTGTGAAGTGCATTTTGGATCTTGTAGTTATCCACTCTGTTCCTTTCAATAATAAACCATTGCTTTTGCTTGTTTTCTCAGCTGATGTTTTTGAAGACACTGCTCCATTTGCAAGCTCGGTCTTGGATGGGTACAACGTCTGTATTTTTGCATATGGACAGACGGGGACTGGAAAAACTTTTACAATGGAGGGTACAGAAGAAGATCGTGGAGTAAATTTTAGGACTCTTGAGCAAGTTTTTCATATGATTAAGGAGAGAGAGAAGCTATTTCGATATGATGTATCTGTAAGCGTTCTTGAAGTTTATAATGAGCAAATACAAGATTTGCTGGTGTCAGACTCTCAGCCAGGAGTGGCTGCGAAGAGGTAGTATGAATTCCTTGTATTTTCTCTCCATTTTCATCTTATGTTTTCTACGATCTTTATACTTAGTGAATGTTCTTTTCACGATCACCATTATATTCTGATAATGAATCTTACACAGTTGAGAATATCAAAATTGTATAAAGGGTAAAATCCACGTGTTCCTTGTTGCTATTTACTTGCAAAACCTGTTGTGGGCTTGATTGGCAGTCTATTCAGCATGACTTAAACACACTCAATCCTTTTCAATGTTGAAATCTCGAATGATATTCCATCTTAACTTCTATATGCTCCCAGAACATGAATCAATGGAATACAAAATATGAAATGTTCACAATCAGTTCTTTGTTTTTTTATGATAAACTTCTATACACTTTTTTTTTTCATTATTAGCCTGAGATTTCCTTTCACTCGTTTTAAGATCCCAATATGAGATTATTTGTGATATATCTCATCAGCAGTAAGAAATAGAGCAGTATTCCTGTTTTTAACCAATCTACTATTTGTCCTCTATCCTCACTTTTATGATCTTTGGGTCAGTTTAACCGAAGCATTGGAGTCTTGGCTTCTTCAACTTATTACTATATATGTTCATTATTATATGAAATGCAGGCTAGAAATAAGACAAGCTGGTGATGGACTACATCATGTTCCTGGGCTGGTTGAGGCAAAGGTACACAACATGAGTGAGGTTTGGCAAGTTCTAAGAACTGGTAGTAATGCAAGGGCAGTTGGCTCTACCAATGCTAATGAGCACAGCAGCCGATCTCACTGGTCCGTGTCTCTATGCTCCATTTGAGTTTTTATCTATACTCAATAATTGCATAATGTGTTTGTAACGGGAGTAAAGGCTAACGAATGGATTGTTCTTGATCCAGCATACACTGTGTTATGGTGAAGGGAGAGAATTTATTGAACGGGGAATGCACAAAGAGCAAGTTATGGTTGGTTGACCTAGCAGGAAGTGAGAGGATAGCGAAGACAGAAGTGCAAGGAGAGCGGTTGAAGGAAACTCAAAATATTAATAAATCATTATCTGCACTTGGTGATGTCATATCTGCTCTCGCAACTAAAAGCCCTCACATCCCATTCAGGTTATAAAAAATTTTAACCAGTCTTTGATTTGTTATTTTTCTAAGTGCAAACTAACAACCCAATAAGCATACCTTCAGTGTAAATGTTAATAACATGTTTGCTTGCTGTCCAGAAATTCCAAGCTCACGCACCTTCTTCAAGACTCCCTGGGTACTTTTCTAGCTGAACTATGCAGTAAATATAAATTTGGGTTGATTTACATGAGTTATGCAGGTATAAAATGAGTAAAACTAATATCTGGATCCATGTTTTTTAGGAGGAGATTCAAAGACACTCATGTTTCTACAGATCAGCCCCAATGAGAATGACCTAGGTGAGACTCTATGCTCGCTCAATTTTGCAAGCAGAGTTAGAGGGATAGAGTTGGGGCCTGCAAAGAGACAGTTGGACAATGCTGAACTTCTGAGATACAAGCAGATGGTATAGTGATAACTTATACTTTAAATGCCCTGTTCTTTATTTAGCCTTAATCTATGGTTATCACCTTTCTATTATGTCTGTCTGACTGTTCCTGTATGTCCATGGAAATGGGCTCTCCTGTCTGTTAAGGCTGAGAAATCAAAGCAAGATTTGAAAAGTAAAGATGTGCAAATAAAGAAGTTGGAGGATACAATCAATGGACTGGACTTGAAGACAAAAGAAAAGGATTTTAAATATAAGATCTTGCAAGATAAGGTAGTATATAGGTTGTCAGAAACCATTACAACTTCACTTGTAAATCAGCTCACCAATTTTTTCATTTTTCATTATGCTGGAAAATGGATCTTTAGTTTCCCTTTTCTTTCTTTGATTTTGCAGGTGAAGGAGCTTGAGGCACAGCTCCTAGTTGAAAGGAAGCTGGCACGCCAGCATGTGGACACAAAGATTGCCGAGCAACAGCAGCAACAGCAAACGAAACAGCAGCAAGATGAGCCAATTATTGCACCGCCTAGGCCACCGCTTTCAAATAGAATATTAGGGAGTAACAAGAATTTTGATGAACCTGTGAATGGTGCGTTGAACAAAGAACAGACAAATCTGACTCTGCCACCAATGGGGAACACCAGTTACAAATCCACAATCCCCCTTCCCTCCACAGAGGGGGTTGTCAAGTTGACTGACTCTACTGAAAAAGAAAACAACCCTGCCATGGCTGATCAACCACGATTTCTGAAGAGGACTGGCAGGGCCTCAATTTGTACAACGGCAAGACGCGTCCTAGCAGCCCCAGCTCCAAGGCGGAACTCAATGATTCCACTCCCAAGTGTACCGAGTATACCAAGTTCATTTCCATTATGTCAAGTGGATATGAAAGAAGATTCGGAAGGGTCTGAGACGAATTGTTTGCCTGAGCAGACACAATGCGACAGCCCTAAAGAAATCAGATATGGCTCCAAGCGGATAAGCACCATGTTGAAACGAAGCCTTCAAAAGAAAGTTAACATGAAGTCCCCACTGCAGCAACATATGAGAAGAGGTGGTATAAATGTCGGGATGGAGAAGGTTAGAGTCTCTATTGGAAGTCGAGGCAGGACCGCACATAGGGTATTGCTAGGAAATGGTAGAAGAACAGGAATGAGGGAAACTCAGCAGAAGCAGATGCTAGGAGAAAAGGAAAGGAGGTGGAATAGTGGAACAGTGGCAAGAACTCCAATCTAATTGATACATTTCTCACTGATATCTGACATTACATCTGCTTCCTTCCTTCTTGTATAATAGAAGGGTGAGAAAGGACTATGGTGTGTATTTTTTTATTATGCTAATCATCTGTTTGAATCTTGTAATTGCATAATCGTCACATTTGCGAAGCCTTGGCAGATGCGTTCGCATCTGTATCAGAGCCTGGTGGAAACATGAAACGGCGTTTTCTTGTGGAAGAATCACCGATGCAAGGGGGGATGCTTGCAATCTCTTCATGCCAAACAGAAATTAGAGGAGCACACTGCAGCATGTTTATGAACCAGAAGAATTGGTAGAATTCACTCACTCTATCAAAACAACTTGAACTAGGGATATGCTGTTCTACACCACCATGAGATTATCCGTTGAATGGTTTGTGCAGTTATCTCAACGAAATCGTGTCTTACGATGTCTCTTTTAGTTAAACAAGTTATACTAACAATTATTGTGAGGTCCAGATAAATAGAAGAGGGAAATAATTACAGAGATGATTATACCACGATTTTTTTAACCAGACAGTAATTGGTATAGGATACAAGACAACTTAACGAAGACGAAAAACATGAATCACATGGAGTGAGAAACAAAACTTGCATCAATACGTGTCGTATACTTGTTTTCTTTGTTTAAAAGGGGGAAGCATGAATATAACCACCAACCACAGGCCCAATCAGGCAAATGTTGAGTAATGAGTACCACATTTTAAGTGTTCAAACCATGCCTACTCCAGACTATTTTATACCAACATTTGCGTGGACTTGTGTTCTCGGGAAAACTGTGTTTCTGCAGAACCCCTGACCTTTTGCTCTTAAGCGATACTGGTATGTATAACTGTAAAGCAGCCTTCAAAATTTTTACAGCAGTGTCTAGCAATGATTTGCTATGCTTATGATTTCCCCAACCTACAAACATCATTTCAGCATGTGTTTTACCAGCTTCACTCATTGGTACCATGAATCTTAAACAATCTAGTAGGATAAACAATTAGTTACCAAAGCCGGGACAGAGACTCCCCTGCTCTCTGTCATGTACTAGCATACTTGGTTTCAGAAGGATCTGATATATGTCTCTCCATGGTCTTCTCAATTGAAGGTCCCTGTTCACAAACGTATTTGATAGATTCTGAGAGTCGACTGAGCAAATTTACCAGAGCAATTACTTCATTTCGTTGTAGTTGGAGCTGCAATGACAGCAGTTCAAGCATATATTAAACAGAGCTAACATTTGGATTTACCAATTCCATTCAGTGACCAGTCCTTTTGGAGATTTTAATGATATGCAAAACATATGAAATCCAGAACATTCAAAAACTCACAGATTCGCTTAGCTGATTTTGACCATCAACAGAAAAGAGGATCTTCAATGCAGTACCAAGGCCAAGAACCTGAAGTTTTCCCCAGAGTCTACACTTCTCACAGCCAACACAGTCCATCAATGCACTGCAATATGTTTATATGATATATTAATAAAGCATACAAAATAATTTAAAAAAAAGTGGTATGATCAATTAGCTAGTTAAGAAATTCAAAAAATTTAGGAGAAAAAATTGTCTTTCAGAATCACATTTTACTGTCCTTTAAAATTGCTAGAATTGAATATCAGGACCTAAAGAAAACGCATGAAGAAAATCAATCTCTCTTTATAAGAGGAGCCTTCCATTCAAGACAAAACTTAAAAAGAGGACCTAATATTTCTGAATTGCTTTTGAATTTGCTGCTTCAGTTCAGGTCCACTTTGACCTTGCCATAACTTAGCTTCATCAAATGGAAGAGGGCAAGCTGCTTGGAGTTTGGGGTTGTGAAATAACTGCCTCACTAAAGACTCTGTCTTTAGGTCCTCTGTATGGTTACCAGTGTCATACTCAGCCTGCTCCAGGTAATCTGCTGCCTATAACAAATTTTGAATAAAATAGCACCAACAAACTCCAATATCAATGTCTGAAATTATCTACCAGACACGTATTACAGTACTCACTTTAGTCACTGCGCGCAAAACAAAGAGGAATGTGAAGTACAAGTTTCTGACACGATCAGGATATCTGAGAACACGATCATACATCAATTCCGGGTTCTGACCCCACTGAAAATGTACATAAACAACATCAGTGTCCAATAAAATTAATTACATTTGGGTTGGTCTTCATTGAGTTCATTTCATTTTTGTTAAAAATTTCCCTGCATTACTCATCTAGTTATTCTAAATTACATAGACAGAATAAAACTTCAGGAAATGATCCAATTTAGGTAACTCTACATGACTGTATAATGTACAAGGTTCTATCAAGACGGACCTTCAAGAACCAAAAAGAAATATAGTATAAAAGAGAGATGCAGTGTGGCCAATGCCTAAAATTTTGTAAGTTATTATGTTGAGAACATTCAAAACAGGAATTACAGCAGTGTTGATAGCACAAGGCAGAAAGAAAACCTTATTGGTGCTCTCATCAAGAAGATAGTCAGCAGCTATATGGATTGAAATGGAAGAGTGGATGCCAGATATTAATTTGTATAATACTTTTTTCTCCTGGCACATCTCTCCTGATGGATCTGCATGAAGTTAAATGGATTATGGCAATGAAAAGAAATCAAAATTAAGAATTAGAAGCTTTGAAGAAACATGGACATTCATGGAGATTCACCACATATCACAGGAAAAACATGGTGACTTTCAAATTCGAGAGAAACAGCAGAAAATAAAATATCTAAGAAAAAGTGATGAATATAATCCTTTTTTTTTTTCCTTTCACCTCAAGCAAGAGTTTCATTAAAGACCAGTTTGAGTTCTACATGATTGACTAGTTCAATAAAATATCTTCAACCAAGATTTAGAACTCAAAAGGGAACAAAATTCAATTTCAACTATGCAAGTAAATGCAACAGATTAACCAATTATCTCAGTCAGCAAAATTCAATTGCCTGCTCTGCTAATTTAAAAGACATTTTATTAAAAAATCAGCTTACATTTTGGGCAATTCTCTGAGTAAACAGCATCCCATATTCTTCTAGCTGATGGACCAACATAACCAGTGTAGCGTTCCGGATTCAATAAGAGATTCACATATGTCATCCCATCTACAAGATACTTCAATAGTAAGCCTCTGCAATGTTCTTTTAAGAAATAACCCCCTCACTAAAGGTAAGATAATACTTGTAACAGCAGTTTGAGGTGATACTAAAATTCAGGGTTCTATAATTTCTATTGGGAAACATGATAGTTCAATAATCAGTTGCAGTCTCACCAGGTTATCACTAAATCGAAGCTAATTGTATTCATGGTCTTATTAATCAAAAGTGATGCCTAAGTTATCATGTACTTTCCAATTTGTAAATACTATATCTCCTTCCATACAGTAGAAAGCTGGATACTACATGATCTTCAAGATTCAAAACCAAGAAAATTATGCAGTCTGCATTCACCAAAAAGTCAGCAGGTACCATTATCAGTCTCGTCATCATTTGTCCATGGATTATCTGTCTCTATCCATCCTTTAAAAGCTCCACTGTCTAATGTGCGATCAACAGCAGCCTGTGGCCTTCCCTCTTGACATGCCACATCATCTGCTGGAAGACCATGAAGGAATGGCTTCTTAAGAGGTTCTGGGAACTCATTTTCTGGGCATTCACAAACACTGCAATCACGCAAGCGGCACATACCATCATCGGGCCAGAAGGGGCAGTCGCACCACAATTTAACCTCCCATAAGGAAAATGCATCTCATGTCAAAAAGGAAAATAAAAGAATCACAGTAGTCAACTATTACAGTTGCTCAGATTTACAGCACAATGGGAAATTGAACAAACTGATGTTTATGTTTTGTTGAATATTTATTCTGGACACAAATACGATAATCACTCTTAACCCATGTCTTCCCTGATATTGAAATGGTTCCCAAGAAGTGACATTGAAACAAAATAATTTAGAAACAGCCACTTCAGCACATAAAAGGAGCCAATTCAATGAACAAGTGCCACATGAAGTCCATTTTGTAAGCCTTTACATGAACCTATTGTTTCCACTACAGAAAAATTTAGAGCAAAAAAGGTTCTCCCAAAACGAATGTCAGGCTAACACCAGCATCCAAACAGACTAATTTTCCTATTGCATTGATACTTGACCACCACAACTAAGAATCATTTGCTCAGGTCTGGTTGAAATTGCAGAAAAAGCCATAATCTTCATCATTTCTTTACCATGTGCAAAAATATTTAACCAAGAAACACTCACTATCACAATAAAACTAAAAGTACATGACCCCAAAATAACACAAAAACAGAAAATCCTTACCTTAAAATACCGAAAAAAGGGTGTTTTAACAAGCTCTTGAAGCAAAGGATGCAACACCTCTCCATTTACACTATCTACACTCTCATAATCACAACAACAACCCTCAATCACTCCCTTATATTTCCCTGAATCCTGCGCTCAAAACCAAAAAAAAAAAAAAAAACAAATGATTGCCAAATCACAAACAATTAACATCCAAAACTAGAAAGAATGAATTGTACCTGAGAAGAAGGGCATTGACATGACTTGTTATTGCTGTTAATCAAAGAGCCAATCTTTGATGCGGACATTGGAGAAACAGTAACAGCTACAGCTACTGCCAGAGCAACTGCCACTAATGCCCCGATCAACCCCCATGAACTCCATCTCTTTCTCTCCTTGCTTTCTTGTTTGGGCTTAAAGCTCTCGTTTTTCTTCACCATTTAAAAATCTAAGACAGACCCAGGTCCTGTTTCGGTTAAACCCTACAAACCCAGATTTTTGTTTTTCAGTATTTAAAATAAAATGCGTGACTACCGACGAGAATCAAATTCGACGGCACACGAAACGTTTACGCAAAGGGAGGGAGTGTGATGCACGCCCCAGTTGACTAAGCGTAAGGGACACGTGGTGAGATCAAAATGCAGAGTGGGTGAAAGGGAGAGTGAAGATAGATTTTAATGAGATATGGAAAGTTCATTGAGAAGTCTGTTTCCACTTTAAAAGTTTTTCTATGTTTATTTAATATTAAAAAACTTAATCCATAAAAGATATCTTCTCGTTAAGAAAAAATTAAATTGGTTTTTTTAAAAAAAATTGTTTTGAATAAAAATTATTTTTTGTAAATTTAAAAATTATGAAAAAATCAGAAATTTATTATTATTTATTGATTATTTAAAATTTAATTTTTTATTTTTAATTATTTTTTTTTAAATTTAATTTTTATATCAATAAAAAAATTCTTATCTTTTTAATTCTTATCTTTTTAATTAAATTTTTTTATTTATTAAATTTGATCTCATTTTTTATTACTATTTATTTTATTTGAAATTATTTATAAAATTATATTTTTTTAATTTTATTATCTTTTTAATTTTTTATCTACTAGATTTTATATTTATTATTTTGATTATTATTTATTTTATTTTAAATAATTTATAAAAATTTTATTCAATTTCATTCTTCTCTAACTTTTTTATCTATAAAAATTAATCTTTATTTTTTTAATAAAATTTTAAAAAATATAAAATATTAATAGGTTATTTTTCAGTTATTTTTTATGATATAATTAAATATTAAAAAATATTTATTGAATGATATAATTAAATATTAGAAAATATTTATTAATTTATTTTTTATAATTCTATTAAATATTATAAAATAATTTATTTTTTATAAAAATTACTTATCAAAATAAAATTATTTTTGAGCAAAGAAATATTATTTGTTTTTTATTTGGAGAAAATGACTTCCAGTTACCAACAAGAGCTCATGTTTTGGTTGACTAAACTTGTCAAGTGAATGGATGGGTTAGGCTTTTGTTTAGGGTGTTGGGCCTCGTATCACTAGCCCAAACCCAATTCAAAGGTCATTCTTGTTCGGGAAACCATACAAGGTTTAAATCATTTCTTAACGCATATCTAATACTATGTTTTCAATTGTGTATGAATATATTTTAAAAATGTATTTGCTTAACAAATATATTAAATTTATTTTTTTTTATAGTATTTTTCAATAATTTTAATATAATTTTTAATGTGTCGATGTCGAATACAAAAAAATTATTTTAATATAATTTTAAAAAAAAATTAAAAAAATTTCAGACATCACAATAAAGGCAAACTTATTTACTTATGTAATAATCATAGTGTTGAATCTTGGTCAGTCCCATAAACCAACCTAGAATACAATTTACGGATTAATTGGATTAATCTAAGTCAATTAAAAAATTATTATTTTAATTTTTTAAAGTTAAAATATAATTATTTTTTAAAAATAAAAAATTAAAGTTTTAACTGGTTTATTCATCAATCTATATTTTTAATCAAATCAACTTTTAAATAATGTTTTTGAAAACCCAACCTAGCTGAAATATGGACCTTTGAGGGTTTAATATTTAAATTTTATTTATTTATTTTAAGTTAATATGTTTTTAAATTATTTTAATATATTAATATTAAAAATATTTTTTTAAAAAATAAAAAATAATATTAATATATATTTTAATATAAAAAATATATTTAAAAAACATCCACATCTATATTCTCAAAAAAACTCCAAAAAAGGACCGTCAATTAGTGATGAAGCGTGGAGGCTTTGTCTCTGCCGACACAAGGACTAGGTAGTTTATTGCATTTTAAGGATCAAGAAAGACAGCGACTCTTTTTTATTTTTTTTCTCCTTAAATAAATACAAAAACTCGTGTTGGTGAAAAACTTTGGCACTAATTTGCAACAAAATGTCAATAGAAATGAAAATTTTGATATTGGGCTCTTTCTATTTACCAAAATTAAAACTATATCATCCTAAAGAAATCCTTCACTATAATTACATAGAAAATATCTTAAATTTAAAATTAATCTAATAGAATTGAGTTAACTTCAAAGATCAACTCGTAATCTAATCATAGCAGTAAAAAAATTAGTTTGATTTCTTCTTAATATCATATGTTGTTTTAAATTTTAAGAAAAAATACTTCAAATAATATTTTTTTATATTTTTAAATAGTATTAATACATTAATATTAAAAATAATTTTTTAATATATTTCTAAATAAAAAATACTTTAAATAATAGTCTGTGAAAATCTCAAACGCACCCTTAAAAAAGCTTCCCTGTAAAGCATGCACCATTAATGAACTTATTCTAACCTCCATTACAAGCTACCAATCAGCATCTTCTCCCTCTTGACATTTTTCTCAGCCAACTGTATTGCAGACAACCTCTACTTAATCCCCTCTCTTTTATAAAATACAAGTTGATTAAAGAACTCAGAAAAGCATCTCTTGCTTGCGTTAATCATTGTAGTTAGAGCTGTTGATTCCATGTATTCTCTCTCTCTCTCTTCTAACACTTGATCTACGGATTTATGGGATCCTAGTTAATGATTAGCAGTTCTTGAGGATGATAAAACAATGCATAGTGCCTGAAACGTGAAGTGATATAATAACAAGGTTGATTTTGAGAAGATACTATTAAAAAAGGGCTTAAATATCATCTCATGATTTGATTACACTCGACAATTAATTAAATTATTCATTATAATCAGGAGATTGGATCATCAGATTCAATGTATCCAAAAAACACTTTGATATCTTAATGTAAAAAATAATTTACAAAATAAAAAAAAATTATTTTAATATATTTTTAAACAAAAAATATTTTAAAAAATAATCAAAACACTTTCCAAAATTTAACATCCCGAGTCTTTAATCCAAAGTTTAACACATGAGGAAAATCTCCTTCTTGAAGAGCATTCCCCGTATCCATCACATGAGAGCATCCCTGTTCTTGAGAATGCATGCATTGAGACAAGTTCATGATCTCGATGGGGGGGATGAATCCCATTTATTCTCATTACTTTCTGAAAATCCATAGATTGAAAGAGAAACTGCAATGTATATAGTCGATTTAAAAAAATTAATCAGATAAAAATCATATTTCCATTGATTTGGGAAGATTGTGATCATCATTCTTCATCCTGAAAATAAATTATCCCGAGTGCATGATAATCCCAAATGGAGTCAAGCCATGAAAGTCCTTCTTCCTTCTTCTCCCCTCAAGTGTAATAAATGGAGGGACCAGAATGGAATAATTAAGGATACCCATATCACCTTGTGGGCCATGTCAACATAATGGGCCCTAATCATGTTCCTGGGCCTCCACTCCTAGGGCACAATAAAACCCCCCACATGTCAAACAAAAAATTACCCATCATTCTATAAACACACATTGTGCCATGCTTAGTGATTGATTATGGAAGTATTAGAGGACAAATTGATGGTGTATAAATAAATACAGGCTGGTTGCACATGCAATTGCCACCTGTCCCTGCCATGACTAGCTCTTGAAACCTTGACCATGTCGAGCAGAAGTTCAACCATGGAAGAAGCTTATTTCTTGCTGTGGAAATGCCCTAGCCAAATTGGTCATGTGAGAGAATGTGATGGCATCAACTTGGGGTAATCATGGGGAACACCATATTTAGGTCATAGATTAAGCTGTGAATATATTGCTAAGGTGCGATATCTTTCTCTGTTTATATGCTTTTGCATTTTATTGACTTGCAATTTCAATGCACATGGCAGCCATTTGATCAAATGTGTTACTTGGTATATTTTAGTCATTCTAAGTTTTTATTTTAATCCAACATTTGAATCATTAATTTTTTTTAATTACGTATCAGTGTTTAGCTACTGTTTCAGCATAGAATAGATGAAAACAAAAAAATATTTATATTTAATTAAAAAAATATAAATATAAAATAAATATATTAATGTGATGATTTTAAAGTGAATTTTTGTATTTTCATGAAAATACACAAAGCTCGCATGCAAATATGATTTTGTTATTCTTGTTATTTGTTTTTCTTTTTAATATTACTATAAAAAGTAGAAGTGCATGGGAATTTATTTGCTAATATAAGCTTTGTTATGGAAAGAAAAAAAAAGGAGTTACTTGCTTAATTCTTCCATGAAATGAAAAAAGATTAAAGTACTAATTTTCTTAAATATTCGTATACTAGTTTTTAAATGATGGGTCTCAAATGACTATTACTCATCAATCCATGTAGTTCTAATTGAATTATTATTCCTTCCAAATGTGAATCATCTACTCCATTAATCCATTTGCATTCATGATTAACTTGTGACATTTGTTGTGATAATTACATGGATCATGAAGACCAAAAGGGAGTGGACAACATTCACAAAGATGCTATTTTTCTCTTCCAAAAATATTAATTTTAAATGCAAAAAACAAAGTAAAGAAAAGTCAAGGAAAATAAAATCCAGACCACCCAAGGATAATTTCAGTATTTTTTACTTAAAAATATATTATAATAATATTATTTAATTTTTAAAAATTTATTTTTCAAATTAATATATTAAAATAATTCAAAATTATAAAAAAATAATTTAAGGCGAAGAAAATTTTAATTTGAGACGAAGAGAAATTTCAAAAATATTTTTAAAATTAATTTTTGATAATGTAGTGATTATTATTTTTCAAATTGCTTTTTATTTTAAAATATATTAAAATAATATTTTTTTATTTTTTTAAAATTAATTTTTAACATTAGGGCATTAAAATAATTAAAATAAAAAATAATTCTTTTAAATTTTTAAAAATAAAAAAATAAATGATCCCTATAGCACCTCGATCTATGGACTAGTTCATAATTGTTTGCCTCCATTATTGTCATGAGCTAGGAGGTTGAAAGCCAGCCATTATTGATGAATTATGTTCGTACTTGAAAATTATATTTTATTAAATATTAAAGTTTTTTTCTTTCAGAATTCAACTACTAAACCCTCAAGCCACTAGTTGAATTTTTTATGCAAGCGAGCGACAATATAGGACCGATGTTGCCCACGTGGCAGACAGCATCGTCCTTTCACTTCCAC